TAGTTTACTGCCTGTTGTGCTTTTATCTTCATTTGATTCTCTTTGGTATGAGTATATAATTTCCAAAAAATAGAAACTATTCATAGGAATCTTTTGAAAACTTCTGTTTGAAGTCAAGGGCTATAAAATTCCAAATACTTAAATTTTCTGAAGTGTTATTGCCTTGAAATCATTTTCAAAATCGGTCTCAGTATTGTGGTATGAAAGAACCAGTCAAACCATGAATACACATAGTGTGGATAAATGCATAGCAGAATATATTGTATATGAAGCAGTCAGCCAGGTTACACCACACACACTTGGGCCTTTTCCTTGAGATATGTCAAGCTATCCACTTTCCTGTTCTGGTTACATTATAGTTACATACACCTTGGCTAGGTGTGTCCAGGATGGCTTCAGAGCATTTTGAGAAATGTGTTTTGAAAATTTTTGAAAAATTGCAGTATGCAAGGCAGATGACAGATCATAGAAAGCTTACCTAGTTCTCCAAACATATCCGGTGCCAAGGGTAACAATCCCTGGCTTTGAGTTACTTAAAGTTAGGAACTTTTATTAACCCATTGCCGCTGGGGATGGCATGTACATACATGCCATGCCCACTGTGAGTCGACTTGTTTGATTGTTTTTACACATAGATGGCTACACTTGTACTAAGTATCCAATGAGCCAATTACGAGTACTGCCTGTCTCGCCCGTTCACCCTTTTCATCGATTTACTGAAAATATTTAACGTTATGCTAACGTGCTGTTAAAAATAACACCATCTATATTTATAGCACTAGTAAGAATACCTTTTTTCCCGCCAATTCAAGGAAAGGTGAAATCAGGACTAGCAGAGCCATCTATGGACAGATATTTCACAAAAATACAGAAAATGAGTACAATATTTTCCACATTTTTTTGTTCATTTTCCCTGGCGGCAATGGGTTAAGTGTAATACTTAGTGAAGAAGGGATTATGCAGCATTTCACATTTAATGGACAGGTCCTTTAATGTATCTATGGGTAGTCACTCTTTGCACACTCAGTATACCATTATAAACATATACATTTTCCTTTTCTTTTACTTTGCCAGGTTTTTATAGGGCAAAACATAACTTTAAAAAATCAGGATTTATTGAAATGATGCTTACCTAAGAATGTTGCATTGCTGTCTCTAGGATGACAAGATTTCATGTTATTTTGATTTCACTATATATGAAGGCATTTCTGAAAAGGTCAGACAGAGAGATGACTGTTGACTGATTTTTTTCTCTTGACTGAAGAATACACTTTGTAGTTGAAATATGAAGTGATTTCTTTATATAGAAAAAAAAACAAAGTTTCACTTGGAGATAAAACAAAACATTAAGAAAATTGCATCACTGAATTGTAAAATTATACTAGTTACTTGCTATTTTGTTTATTTATCTTATTTTATTTATTTATTTATTTTTTAAGTAGGGAAATCTCAAGGGTAGGCTGTAAAAAGACAGGAAACAATTCAACTGCCATCAAAATAATTGTTGAATGTTGAGACGCAGATCGTCTGCACAAGAGAAAGGGATGGAGCAGGAATGATGTATAAAAGTGCTGATGTATTGTTGCATATAATAACATGAAACCGAGACATTAATGGTATGACTTAACATGCAAGGCTGCAATCTACTAAGGAAACCAGGTTTGTTCTTATACATTCTATACTTTTGATAATGTGGATTTATTTTTAGTATAATATATAACCAGTTTGATAATGAAAACACCTTTCACAGTCCCACCTCTTGTTTCTATCTACTCAAAATGCAGTACAGTATACAAGAGAAACTACTTTATTATTATTATTTTTTAAACATACAACTGTCAATGACTGAGTAAAAATCATATTGTTATTCAGAAGTGTCATGGCTGGGGGGGGGGGGGGAGTAGAGCGGGCACCAAGTATTCCTTCCTTTTACACTGTTCTGGGAAAAGTAAACCATTCTTCCACTGAACTTGAAGTTTTATGAAAGGCCAAACATAAGATAGAAATCTATTACAACGAAGATTTGTCTCCCACATGAAAATTCGTGAAAAATTACAAGCATGAGTGACACCGCGAATACCTTTTCAGGAACACAGAACGCAATTTTATTAACAATTCTTGTGGGCTTCTACTCCCTTCCCTTCAATATAAAAATACATGGACTGTATTTTTCTTTCATATATTATAGTATGAATATGATAGTCACAGAAGAAAACAAGCAATTGGAGGAGATGAAGAAACTCGGCATTTTTTTTTTTCTCTACTTGACATTAAAACAAGATCCTTTAAATCAAACTTATTTTTTCTCATATTCCACTTAAATTTAGAAAAAAAGAACAATAATGGTAATAAAAAGAATAAAAAAAAAAAAAAAAAAATCAACATAAATTTCAGGGTCACAAACCAGATGTTTAAATGAATACATGGAAATGGGCGAAGAAAAAAATATAGATGTTATTGATTTCTCTTCAAAAACATGGTAGAGATTTTGGCTTCCTTG